CTCAGGGCTCCTTATGTTTTTTTCATAATTTTATCCAATTATATAAGCTCTCATCCAATTACATGAGCATCAGCTATGGAAGATATGCCCAGATCTCTTGCTTTCTCCATCCTGACTTCATCCTACACTTGAATTTCCTTATTCCACTACTTTCAACCATCTAACACTCCCATCCTTGAGTAGATTTTGCTAACTTAGAAAATGCTGTACCTGTCGAAAAATGAACTTTACAACATTGGTGCGGGGGGAGGGCAGGTAGCGGGGAGGATTGAGTGGGGGGCATGCGGGGGGAGGATGAGAAGGGATGGGAAGGGGAAACAAAGGAGGAGGCTACAATGCTTGATAAGAAATGTACTCATTATCTTGCCCATGTAATTGTAAACCCTCTGTATAGTATTTTCACAATAAAAAAATTTTTTTAAAAAGAAAATGCTGTACTTTCTGGTAATAAAATGTACAGGCAAATATACATGGACTACCTTATCTTTGTGACTGCTAAGTTACTTAATTTTTTTTCAATGATTGATTTTCAGAGAAAATGCCATGTATTCATCTTACCTAACTATGGAGCAGATTATAGAAGAAATGACATGCATATCAACTTATTTGAAGCTTATATATACAGTTTTATTAGGTATTTACTTCAGCTGTGATTAGTGTTATCTGCAGGGACAACTTCCAGGTCAAGTAGACTTTGCTTCATCCCAACTCCTTGGACCTACCTTGGTCTAAGCCACTGAAATTTTAGTCTTCCCTAGAAGATAGGTCCTAGAGCTCATTAGGCTCAAGCATTCCAAGCACAGCAATCTGACTGCTGCATAAAAAATGAATTCCCTGGTCATTGTTTTTAGATATTGCTTCTAAAACAATGATGTGTTTAATTAATACAATTTATATATCAAACCACACAGACACTTTCACATATTCTCATATTGTAGCATGTTTATCAGAAATAGTCAACTTAATTACTTAAGAAAATTGGCTCTATTTGCAGAACTGGAGTCGTATAAGAAAAACGAACTGAAATTATGAAACAGAGAAGGCTGGAGAAATGCCAAATTCTTGTTATTTTTTTATTCTGTCACTGAAAAATTAATTAAGAAATAAGGTTCTTGAGTATTGTGAAATTCAGTGCAAGCCAGTGAATAAGTCACTTCGCCAAGGATAAAAGGGGAGATTCATCTTTTTCTGGCTTACTTATCTTGAATTCATAAATCATAAAAAATTGCTTCTGTACATAGCTCAGCCTTTCGCTGTAGCAGAGCTCACTTTGTCTTGTCCACGAGGCAAACTTCCTTGCCCAGTAAAAGAAGTAGACTTGTTGAGAAGTCATTTAATCAAATTAGGAAGAATATGAAAAATTTAATTACTAACACAAATTTCTTTAACGTTCTATATGACAAAGGAATTGAATTTTTTACTCTCTAGTGAACTTAAGATTTTACCTTTCAAAAGTAGGCTTCCTGGGAAAAGAGGAAGGAAAACATATGAGAAGTACAAGTTGTCATGTCGAAAACGAACTTTATAACTTTGGTGTGGGGGGGAGGATTAAGTGGGGGGGTGGGGGAGGCTGGGAAGGGATGGGAAGGGGAAACAAAGGAGGAGGCTACAATGCTTGATAAGAAATGTACTCATTATCTTGCCCATCTAATTGTAACCCCTCTGTACAGTATTTTCACAATAAAAAGTAAATAAAAATTAAAAAAAGAAAAGACACAAATATACTGTACCAATATCAAAGAAAACACAGATTTTCCCCAGGGGCTATCTATTTAAATGACAAGCTTAATATATATATATATATATATATATATATATGTATATATATATATATATATACATATAATTATAATTATGTATGTAAGTAATTAGATACTTATCATATATCTCCTAAAATAGCATTATGTCATTAGCTAGTAAATTCATAAAAGTGGAGTTTACATGTTGAGTGAGATAAAACAAGTGCAAAAAAATTTAGGTGGGTTTTGGTGCTCAATCCTGTAATCCTAGCTACTTAGGAAGCTGAGATCTGAGGATCATGGTTTGAAGCCAGGTGGGACAGGAAAGTCCTTGAGACTCATATCTCCAATTAACCACCAGAAAACTGAATATGTAACAGTGGCTCAAAGTGGTAGATCACTAGTCTTAAGCAAAAAGAGCTCAGGGACAGAGCCCCACAACCACAAAAAAAGTCAAATAATGAATGTTCTCCTTCATTTATAGAATACAAACCTAAAAGGAAAGCCAAATCATTCATGTTTTCTTTGTTTATGGAGTTCAGACCTAAAAGGATGGGGATAGTGATAAAAGTAATAATAATGGGACAATGAATGTAAGATTTCTTTTACTTTTATTGTCTGTGGGGGGTGCAAATAGAGAATGTGGGAAAAAGAAAAATCTACCAGAAGGATCTAAGGATTTATATATATATCTGATATATATGTATATATTATATTTAAACAATATTTTATGCTATATTACATTATATATGTTGTTTGTCCTTCCATGTTGTTTATAGTGAAAATTAAACAATATGAATATAGACATAACTGTCTTTAGTCACTTAATTCATATATCAACAGATAATGACTAGGTCACATAATTTACAGATACTATTATGTTTTGAATGTATGTATATATTATTATTTTCAGCATTAAACCTGTATTGTTTATTGTGGAAATGTTCAGTGTTGTTGTTGAATATGTATCAACATTTATAATATTTATATCTTCATTACAACATAGTGTATGTTAAGGGTTCAAAAACTGAACCTATTAAATGCTCATGCTATTTACAGTTTGAGGGGGATGAACGTTTCCCCAAAATGTCACTGTTTTGAATATATATTTAGTTATGCTTATTCAATTGATGAGAAAACAGGGTTTTCAACCCAGATAATCTTGATTTTAATGTTTAAAATGTTAAAAAAATTGAAAATTGAAGTTTGAACTCATAACTCACACTAGGCAAGAATTTATGACCTAAGCCATACCCAAGCCCATTTACTTTGTCTGTGCTAGCCTTAGACCTTGGTAATATGACCCAGGCTTCTGAGTCATATTCTAGACTATTGTTTAAGGGGCAGGATCTTTTGAACACATTTCTTCACCATATGGAAGTCCTCCTATCTCCACCTTCCTGGGAATTGGAATTACAGACATTCACCATCATGCCTGGTCCCATCTTGATTTCTAATACAACCACTTTCCATTGACCTATACTCTATTCTCAGTCTATGCTCACAAAAACCTCAGGCAGAAAGAGACTAGAGAAAATGAGAAGGAATGGTACACATTTCACCTCTAGCTGTATATATTATTTCTTTGATTTATATGATCATAGATATTAAAGAAAGAATTGTGTGATCTCACGTATTTCTTTAAACTATTGGAAGTTTATAAAACTCTGGGCCTGAGTGCTGTCCCTCAGCTCTTCAGCTCAAGGCTAGAGCTCTATCACTTGCGGCATATCTCACTTCCGGCTTTTTCTGCTTATGTGGTGCTGAGGAATACAAGGCATGCACTCTACCACTGAACCATCTTACTTTTATTGTATAGGTGATGTACAGAGGGGTTAGAGTTAATTAAGTAGGTAATGAGTACTTTTCTTTTTGAACAGTTTTTTTTCCTATTTTAACCGGACCCAGTCAGTTACATCATAAAGCATAAGAAAAGAATTATTTCATCTTTCAATGTTTTAGAATATCTCAAGGGCTAGGAAGATTATTAGGTTTGCTAGTATAATTGTTGTGATCATTGTGTCTGTGTGTGTGGTAGGTGTGGGGGGGGGGGGGTTACTGGTCCTGGGACTTGAACTCAGAGCCTGGGCATTGTGCTTGAGTTTTTGTGCGCAAGGGTGGCACTCTACTACTTGAGCCACAGCTCTACTTTTTGCTTTTTGGTGGCTAATTAGAGATAAGAATCTCACAGGCACCACAATCCTCAGATATCAGCCTCCTGAGTAGGTGAAATTATAGGCAAGACCACCTATGTCCATCTTGCTATGATGATTATAAATAATTCTCTCTAATTTAGAAAAAGGTTGAGATACCAAATTCACTCTTTTCCTTAGATGTAAATAGCTGTAAAGTATTTGATATTGGTATAATTTGTGGAGGGGAAGGGGAAAAACAAATGGTTTAATTAGGGATACAGGTGGACCCATTGCAACAATGAAATGTACAAGTCGTTATATTGAAAACGAACTTTACAATTTTGGTGTGGGGGGAGAAGCGGGGAGGATTGGGTGGGGGGGTGGGGGGAAGATGGGAAGGGATGGGAAGGGGAAACAAAGGAGGAGGCTATAATGCTTGATAAAAAATGTACTCATTATCTTGCCCATGTAATTGTAACCCCTCTGTACAGTATTTTCACAATAAAAATAAAAAATAAAGACAAGAATAGTTTTCTATCACTTTGGAAATAATTAGTTTTTTTTTATCTCAGCCTTTTACTGTAGTGAGATTGTTTCATTTATTGTAAATGATTCAACCTTAGAGCATGCCTAATTGTCATTAATTTCCAATCTTCTAAAATATTGAGAATTGTTGAGAATGTAGTCTTTAGAGTATGCTAATTATTTTCAATGGAATTTTATTTTAATTAAATTAGTTTTAATAATTGTTATTGATATCAGGTGTCAGGCTGTCCAGGAACATTTATAATCTAAAAATCACAAATAGTCAAAATGTCCTCAAAAAGTCAGTGATATCATAAATTATGGATAAATAAGCTTTTTAAATTTTATTTATTTTGCTGTAAAGGTGTTGTATAGAGGGGCTACAGTTACATAATTAAATTAATGAGTACATTTCTTGTTGAACATTGTTACCCACTCCATTTTTTTCCCACTATCCCTCACTCCTCTGGTCTTTCCCTTCCCTCCCCCCAAGGTATAAGTTCATTTCCCATATAGTGTCCTGCTGTATTGGTTCACCCTTTGTCCTTGATTCACCATTTTGTTGTTCCCCTTCCTTTCCCAAATCAGTTATAAATATAGAATAAATATAGGATGCTTCACAAAGTTGCATGTCATCCTTACACAAGGGCCATGCTAATCTTCTCCATATCATTCCAATTGTATTATATGAACTGCCGAAGCAAGCACTAAAATAAGAATTTAAATTAAAAAATCTAACAAGAAGCAATTACAAAATAAAAATGGAAATTATGTTAACCCACGCTATAAAATTATATGAAATATTTATTAAATGAACAGAGGCATATTAAGCTAAGTCAATACTTGGATGAATGATAGTGAAGATTCTATCTTCAATTTTGTCACAACTTTTTGCTTTGCAACACATACTCATCCTAGACATGTTTGAAGGAACACAGAAGAGGAAGAAAAATACAAAAGTAATCACAGGGAACAAAACTGATCTAAATCAAATCGTCTAGGAAGAAATGAAAGTAAGCTAAATTAGACAGGGAGAGCTAATCACATTCTTGGTAAAGTAAGCTAAATTAGAGAGGGAACACTAATCACATGCTTGGCATACTCTCTGTTAAATACTTTTAATATGTTTTCTTTTTTTAAAAATTTATTTATTTATTTATTTTATTGTGAGAATACCGTACAGAGGAGTTACAATTACATGGGCAAGATAATGAGTACATTTTTTATCAAGCATTGTAGCCTCCCCTTTGTTTCCCCTTCCCATACTCCCCCTACCCCCAACCCGATCCTCCCCACCCCCCCCCTTCCACCAAAGTTGTGAAGTTCGTTTTTTGACATAAGAACTTACATGTACATCTCATTGCTGTAATGGGTCCACCTGTATCCCTAGTTAAACGATTTGTTTTTTCCCTTCCCCTCCACAAATTATATGACATTAAATACAATGCCTTACATAGTTAATGCCAATTCCTGTTTTCAAGATAATTGCACCTAGTTCCTGGTTGTAAATCCGTTCTCAACTTTCTCAGAGTTTTTGTCAAACTTCTTCTTTTGTCAAACTTTCTTCTTCCTCTAGGAATATTAGTTCATATCCCAGGAGCTTCTTTACCCTAGTGACTTCTTTCCAAGCTGAGGGAGTTAAAGAGGAGTTGTTCTATAACCTGTCATATGTATGATACTGAATACTTTGTTTTCTTATTCACTTCCATCTTGATAAATTATTTTCATTCATTTCTGACTCTCATATTTTAAAAATATGTGATGTGACATTTGTGTCTATATATATGTATGTAAATAAAACGTCTGACACATGCAAATGACTGCTTCTACTGATCATATTGCACTTGTAGTTATGTATTAGTCCAGACCTGCTTTCAATGCTGTTTTCCAAAAGCAAAATTACCCAATATTTATAAGGTTTTCACTTTTGTATGAGAAACTTTCTGAAACTGGGTGCTGAGGTTGTCTTGTGGACAAATTTTATCACAGTTACACAAGCAACAAAATGAGAGAAGTTAATTAAAGCAATAGTTATATATTTCCATCTTTTTTCTTAATATATTGGCTTCACAGCTGGTAGTAGTTGAAGGAAAGAAATAATAATGGACCCAGCAATATATCAAAGGAATATTACCTAATCCATCCTTAATTCGGTGAAGAGATTGCAAATTTTTTTCACCAGAAAAGAGAAGCCTCAATATTTCTAGCTAAGTATGACTATTTATTGTGTTTCAGATATTAGAATTTAAGATCTCACACCATTGTTTCAATATGTGGATGTAAGCTGATTCAATCTCCCATTCACCTTTCACTTAATCAAGCACAGTGGGCTGACAGATATTCTTCAAAAGGTGGCCAAGTACTTTGCAGTTCACGCTGCAGGAAGACTTATCCTCCAATTTACATGCAGCTGTTTCTGCCCTGCTAAAATATAAGTATTTCTTCACTTGTGCTTCCCACCATATGTCATTGTGCCTTTGGCAGAAGTGCTTTCCCCTCACTTCAGCCAGTTGAAACCTACTCACATATTGAACCGTACCTACAATCCCCTGTAGACATTAGCTAAAATAAGTGTGACTGCTGCCTCTTCTCTTCACAGCCAAATTTATTCTACCCTTCTACTTTCGATTGTAATTTTGGCCATATTCTAGAGTACTATAAAATATTTTTAACACTTGTTGTTCACATGTGGACATACACATACATTCATGTACCACATAGTAGTATTTTAATCAAGGATGTGTATCATATTTGGTAGGCAGTATATATGGTTATGGTTCAGCACTATGACAATGGAGCTGAAAGATTCTTCATTTTGAATACTGTCACAGCTGTGGGAAGATGATAGCATTAAAGATGGGACTTATTTCTCACAGGTTTCAGTGATGCTGTTATAAGCAAACCAGCATTATAGCTGTATGAAAGTTTGGCAATGCAATTATGTAGAGTACATGTTACTTGACAGTGATAATAAAACTATCTTACAGGCTTACATATTCAATAAGTATTTCCCACCTTTTTAGAATGTACTTCCTTTATTTATAAAAGAGCATTTTCTGTGAAAGGATACGATGAGTGATATTGAGAATGCCTCTTCCATCATGTATCTCCCTCACCTCTTGATTGCACCAATTTTTAATACTTGACAAGATCATGTTTTGTCCATAGTGAACTCTAAGCATATAGAATCCACTTTCAGGCTTCCAGGAAAAGGCCAGATGAAATGGGTCACCTGGAAAAAAAGTTATGAAGGGCAACTGAAGTGGAAAAATGTTTACTGTCTGTTTTTACTTAACTGTCAAGGAATGGCCCACTACAGCACAGTGCCATCTTTAACAACAAAACAAAAGGAGCTGGGGCAAGAGAGCAATTGAAAGCATTCAACAATTATGGCTTTGTGAGTGAGACTCCATGGACACAACTACAAGTAGATGCTGAAGAGCAGAATATGAGAAGACAGGAGAAACTACTAGGAGTCATGGGGAGGAATGAAGCAGAAGAGAAGCAATCAGGGCACAGGAAATAGCAACAAAGAGTTTGGAAACCATACCTAGTTTTCCAGGCTGAAGAAACTGCACAGAAAAGTCAGTTAAATATATACATACATATATACATACATATATATATATATATATATATATATATATATACATAAACATACATACATATACTTTTTTCTCTAGTGTTGGTCTTGAAATCAAAGTCTTATGCTCTTGCTTGGCTTGTTCACTCACTCATGGTTGGCAATCTATCATTTGGGCCATATCTCCCATCTGGAAATTTACTGTTTATATAGAGATGAAATCTCTTGGGCTTTTCTTTTCTAGACTGGTTTCAAACCATATTCCTCCAATACCAGCCTCCTGAAGAGCTAGGATTGTAGGGGTAAAGTACCAGTACCTGGCTCCAGGTTTTCACAATTATTTTCCCCCATTATGATCTAATTAACCAAAGACAACACATTTCATATTTTGTCCTTACTCTCTCTTTTTCTGGTTGAGAGGCTGGTACACTCACCCTTGGATTTTTTCAATCAAGGTTAGTGCTCTACCACTTTAGCCATGCTTCCCCTTCAAGCTGTTTGCTAGTTATTTTTTTCTGCTGGGCTGGTTTTAAGCCTAAATCTTAAGATCTCAGTCTCCTAAATAGCGGAGATTACAGAATGAATCATCAGCACCTGTCCAGGCTACTCTATCTTCTTCAATTTAAAAACCTGAGCCATTAGCACTTACCTGGCTACTCTATCCTCTTCAACTTAAAAAGCCAGCTTTGTTTTTCTGGCCTTCTATGATTCTGACTTTGTTAATTATTAAATTTGATAATGACTTTATGGTTCAATAGCAGTAAGTGATAATTATGATAGGATACTCACCATTTACTTAAAACGATGCTTTGAATTAACATTCATGATACTTTTGAAAAAATGTAGCATAAAATTTCCTTTTCTTCAACTTGGCATTTGATTTGGACAGCCTTAGATGACTTATTCACCTATATAATTAGGGAGGGAATGAGCAAAAAATATTAACTACATTTATTTTATTTTGTTCTCTTGAGTTGGTGTTTTGTTATATAGCCCATGCTGACCTCCTTTGTCTAGCTTTTAACCACATCTGACTTTAAGAATATATCCTTAAACTTTTGTAAATATTTGTCAGATGTCAGTAGTTTATGTCTATCATTTTAGCTAATGGGGATGCTGAAACTGGGAGGATTATGGTTCTATTTCAGCCAAAGCAGAAAAATCTTCAGCACAAATCAACACATGTTGAGAGTTGCTGCACATGTTTATTGTTCTAGGAAGGAAACGAGACTATCTAAAAAATAGCTGACACCAAAAATTTTGGGAGTGCAGTCTAAATGTAGAGTGGCTATACTTCAAAGCCTAGGTCCTGAGTTCAATCCCCAGTACTCAGAAAAATAAAATCTAAATATTAACAACGCACTACCTTTAGTGTTTGAATAATCATGAAGAAAAGTGTGGAGATATTGTATTTTGGTCTCAGTCTGGGTTTGCTCCTGTCTTTGTATAGCCTTGGAACCATTTCTGCCTTCTCTATTTTCCTGTTGAATAAAATGGGAGAGTTGGTCTAGAGTTTCGTTATGATTAACATTCTTTTTGAATTAAAAAAATGTGTTAAAAGAAATATAAATTACTCATACCTTAACTATTTTTCTCTACTTAAAACATATTATTAGTTTTTCAAACCATAATGTACTAAGTAATTACATTTTAAAAAAATAATATGATTCTTAAAAAATAAAACTGATACCTTTAGGATATGGCAAACCTATTTCCCTAGCTAAAATTAGCTATTATATAATTTTTTTCAAAAACATAATTTATAAAATAGTATAACAGTGCTTATTAATCAAATTGAGTCTTTAAGTTTATAGAAATCATTTACTGAGTCTTATGTTCCCTCAGAAAATAAATGACTTACAGAACTGGCTGTTGCAAAAAGGAACAGCTTAAATATTTAATTTCTGCTGCTAGCATAGGGGCTGGCTCTATGCTTGCTTCATGAGATGTTGATAAGTAAAACACTTATAGCAAGCATTAAATACCCAGTGAGGCCAATGACTTTGGTTCGTGTTGATAAATATTACCAGAGATATCTTTGTGTGAAAATGATTAGACTCACCCCACATAGTATATAATCATGTGCTGTGTATTTGTGTGTGTGCATGATGTGAGAGTGACTCTG